ATTCAATCCCGTGAATGAGGCTGGAAGAATAAAGAATTGAGAGGAACAAACGTAATGAAAATCAGGATGTTGCACGAGAGATGGTCACTGTGGAGTTCGAGGTTTTCTCGTGTTTTCCGTTCAATAGTTCTTCTTGTGCGTTTACTTTATCCGCAAATGTTTCTTCTCCATTCATCGCGTCACCGCAGATGTTGGGACAGCCATTGAGGGTTTGCTACCACCTGTTTAGTGTCCGTTAGGTGTTTATCAGCTGCATAGTTCATTGACATTTCGTTACCAATATAGAATAGGTCACAGTGTTCGATCGGAATCTCACAGACACCCAGAAGTTTAGCATGAATGCGCTTCGTCTAGCACTGGGACATACTGTTGTAATCCTTTACGAACTAGATCGTTTTATTAATTATGCGAGGTCGCTCCTACCATATCAAGAAGTGCCTGCAGTTATTCTACATTGCGACCAACTGTAAAGAAAAACGGTTGCACACTAGAACATGTGGGGATGATAAGCCTAACATTGAGCACCTTTTCTAGAAGCGCGACCTCATCGAATGCGATCGTGGCATTAGTAGCTCCTATTTGCGTGTTTTGTGACCTATAGACGGGTGCTTTGAGCAAGTGGTTGGTTAGTGTGAATGTAAGTATTTAGCAGTTGTCGTCTTCCGTGGAACCGCTATCATTTCGCAGTACGTATATTACCTAGCGATGTTGACGTTGTTGATGTTACTTGCGACCCATTCCACACCGGGGTTACAGTGTGCCACAAGTTGAATATGCCTAACCCGTAAAGCTCATCGTTTATCTGTTGTTATCTTCCCCGCAGTGTGACAGTCCGCAAACCACCGTGATGCGGTCTGCAAGGCTCATTGGAGCCCAGCAGAATTTGTGCCCAGAAGAAGAGAATAAACCGATGAACACTCGGAGTCGCTTCCCTCCCTGTTTCACATCACCTGCTCACACTCGACCAGAACCTGTGAGTTCTCATGCCCTTTTCCTTGAGCGCTGCTCCGTTTGCGATTTGCCATGTATCGGTGTTTGCAACACTGTTCAGTTGGTCCGTATGACGGAATCAAGGGAAACCTCGAATTGTACCGATGTTTATATATATATATATTAATGCGAAATCTGTAAATTGTATCGGCTCACATGAACAGTGAAAAGAACTGGGATGGTTTTAGTGGCATGAAAACCAAATTAGTTCCTGCTGGATGTGAATTCCCCGCCAACATTTTTGTTGTTTATCCTTGTTTATGCTAGTTCAATTATTTGGTCATTCTAACTTTTCTTGGGTTCATCCTAATCTACCCTCTTCTGACCAGATGTTGACTCCTTTCAACTGTCTCCGGCTCGGATCAGGTCTGAATCGTTCAACCAAGCCGAGTTCATTCGCATCGTGTGTTGCAAACACTCCTTCAGCTCCCACATTTAATTCTTCAAGTGTGAGTTTCGGTGCACGAGCTTTTCTTGTTGGACTGTTCATTCGTCCATCCCAGTGTTTCCTCTTCTCTGTAAACAATAAGCAATGTAAAAAACTGCTGGGTTGCACTTGTATTTGCAACGAACTTTGATGTCGTCCAGTTGTTTTGTTGGTATTCACCTGTGAAATATTTTGTTCTCTGCTTATGAAGAATATTCCTTGATACAATATTAGTTTCCTTGAATCAAGCTGACTCTTCGTTTGATTCCAACTACCCTGTTGCACGATATTCTGCAACCATATTAATGAATACGGATTCATCGATTGTCTTTCTCTCATCGTTCACCTGATTAGGTGCTAGTGCAGTTCCGGTGATGGAAGCCAAAATTCCATGGACGATAACATGTAAGCCCAATAGAGAACTAGAAGTACCATCTTGTATTCAAACGGTTGAAAAAGGAATACCCGACCAGGTCTCTAGGACTTTACCTCCTTCAATTAAAGACTGCGGCAGTGTGTGTGGGGGGGAGGGGTATTGCTAATTGACTGTTCTTCTGTTTGGCTCTGCAAAATATGGTTATGAGCATAGACCCTGCAGCGACTTAGCGATCTATCTAATTGTTATCTTTGATACTTTCTCAGTTCACACCCTTAAGAGAAAAGAATATCCGTGAATAGCGGTTAGGATTCTCACCAGATTGGTGCTGTGTTTACCAAGTATTCATGTTGCGTCCCATCTTTGAGTTGCGCCACGCACATCGTCGACCAACGATTCCAGTGTTTCTTGATCTAAAGGAAGCCTTCAACTCATTTGGCCATAAAGCCATAGTCGGTTCGCTTCTTCATAGAACAATGCCCCGAAAGTGTGTCAGTATTCTGATCAAGTAAAATTATACGGTGATCTAAGCAGATGATTCAAGACCTGTAGCGGTGTTCGCCAAGAGTGCTCTTTTCCGCCATCCTCGTTCAATCTCATGTACGGCATATTGGACTCCGCCGTAAGTGCCTCTATAATGTCGGTCTTGAATGGACAGCTGGAGTAAAGCTCTGCCAATTGCATCGGTAATGACGGTGACATAATCAAAAGATGATGGCCCGTATTTTCAACTCTTGAAAAGCGTAGGCGAGACCGAACCGATTGAGACCCTTAACACGTGTTTTTTAAATTGAACAGTAACCTACTGTGGTTTTGAAAGTCAAATCGTTTTCAGTTTATTTTTTATAAGTGTCAGCACAAATTGTCTCCGTTGAATTCCTGTTCTCCACCGGGGTAATGTTGTTCTACGCGTTGGTCGAGTCGTTGTGTGCTCTCATTCATTTATCTCCCGCTGCCGTAGTTCCCTCGCTTTTTTGGACATACCGTACTCCGGGCTCCCTCAGCGCACCAGGGTTGATACAGATGCACTACGGGTTGTCTCCCGGCTCGTATTGTCGCAGTTTGATACGATGTGGGGCTAGACTAGGCTGTCGGCGGAACGGCGGGGCAGCGGCTATGCAGATAACGGTGCGACTAAGGTATGTGATTGCAAGTTAACCCTCGTCAGACAGTTCCTACTTAGGTTGAGGTTAGTGATAAACCTGTTGAGAAAAGGAAACAGAACTCCATGAACCCCAAATATCCAATGAGACATAAGCGCTTACGATAAAAGATTACTGATGCGGTTGTCAAGCGTTCCATGTTTTCGTCGTTTGTTTAAACTGATGTCCCTTATCCGTTAAACGTGAAAGACATTATGCCAGGTGCTTTTCACACGTTGCTTTCTTGAATGTCCAATGTTTCCAGGTTCCCACGCCGCACGCGTCCCTGATCCGCACTACCAGATTCGGCGGTCGCCGTCCGACCACATCTCCCTCTTTGGTGTCACCCGCTCCGGTCGTATCCTTGTCTCGAATCGATTCCCCCTTTGTTCATGAAGAGCAAGTTGTAGAGATCGTCAGTGTTCCGGTTAGTATTTCGGTTAGCTGTTTAAATTTGAAGACCAGTGTTGATCTTTTTCTGCCTGATGTTTTTCACAGTTCTCCAACTTTTCTGATTTTCGATATCGCTTTGAGTGTTTTGGTTCTGTTTGTATTCCATTACGGATCGGTTACATCCCGATGTGGTATGCTGGCTTGTGCGTCTCTGTGTACCAGCTATGCAAGATAGCTTTTCAAGTCAAAATCCTCTCCGATCTGAAGGTTGGACGGGTCTTCTGGTTTCCAAGGTTGGATGTTTNNTGTTTGATTCCAGGTGGCGTCTCAGTCTTTAAAAGTCCAGGCAGTTGGTGTTGGTGAATTTTCCAAGCTGGAAGTGTTGTTCGTAGACGTTTCGTAGCCAACCTAGGCAACATCATCAGAGGGACTTCTAGGAAGCGCCAGTCCTCAGCAGGATCGGGTTTATTTAGTTCTGTTTGAGGGTATCGATTGGCTGTTTNTTCTCAATAGCAACCGTTTACTCTAATTTGATTGACTGTTTCGTTGTCATGGTGAACATCCTTTTTTCATTGGTCAGCTGGCTTTCCTAGACCGACCACAAACCCGTTAGAACTGGTTTTGAACCGTTTCTAGCTGAGGCAGCCTCGTGTCACCAGTGTTTCCTTTTCCGAAGTAGCGCTGATGATGTTACCTAGTTTGGCTACGGAACGTCTGCGAACAACACTTACAGCTCAGAGAACTCACCTACATTTGCATCGAGCTACAATCACTCCACATCACTTAGAGTCCAGGCATTGTTGTATTATGTCGTGGAATGGTTGTCGCAAAATAAGCACGAACGATGAAATCTTTCTTTTGCATTGTTCCTCTACCATAACAAGAACCGTTAGAATGAGTAAAACGGAGCTTCGTTAGAAAGTCACCTAGCTTTTGACATCGAGCAGCCTTAATCCTTTGATACTCAGAACTAGAATAGTCTGAATATACATGTCCCCTAGAACGGCCAAGTGGCCATTTTGACTCCTTTTCGGATTCATCGCTCACTAATCTCGATAATTATGTTTTTGCCATCGGATAATCCTGATCAGTTCGCCCGGTATGTCCAGCTATCAAATGAAGTAATTAATGGCTTATTTGACTTCTGTACCCAATGTGTAATGGGGCTAGTACTAAAATCTCAATTCGACAAAATGGCGAAAATTAAAGTTTTTCGATTGTGGTAAACTGAATAATGGTGATAACACCATTGTTTTACCCAATCTACATTGAGGTAAAGAAGCAGTTAAAATACACCTTTGCTTATGGTTACTGGGACATCGACGTAATTGGACCGCTCTATCACTGGAGGGCATAACAGCTGACCTGAGTCGAACTAGCCCCTTCCTGTGTATAGTTCGAGCGATGTACTCCTACTTCATGAGTACTGTTGTGGTATCACGTGTTGGGGATAATGAGTCCCTGAGGTCGTGACTCGCAACGGCGCTTTGGTGTTGACTGACGCTGACCATGACGAATGTATCGGTCGGTTTCCGTTGACAATGGCAACAACAATGAAACGGTCTAGTTCGAAAGTGGCAAAAACAGAATTAAACGACATGGGCGATTGCAGATCAAAACAAATTTGGAAGGAATTTCAATTACATCAATTTGAGTAATAATGGTGGCTTTCAAAACGTTATGCAAAATTGAAAACGAGATAGTCAGATTGACCCTCTGGCTTTTTCCAGTGTCATTGTTCATTCTTTCAGTTGGCTATAACAGTGCTGTTCGCCCTTATTGGAAGTATCACCTTCAGCATTTGTTTTCTGTATCCATGAAGCGATTCCGCTAGCCCCACTTGAAAGTCGTCCACTGCATCAGGTGGTACCGTTTCCATCGTCATGATTTGGTGATTCCATGTGCGCCTCGGTACTGAACCAAGTCATTGTCTTTTCTGTTCTGTTTCGAATAGGACCGCGTGACTATCTTGATTTAGCTTTAGTCCTGGAGATTAGTTTCTCCTGCTGCAATTGTTTTTTGTTTGATTTCTTTCTGTTCCTCTTCTTATAGCCCAAACAGCGTCGATTGTCCAGTCGTAAGAAGGTGTCTTTTCGGTTCTGAGAAGTACAGTCGCGTTACACATTTTCTCCGGACGATTCCATTGCACCCTCCATGTTCAACTCATATCTTAATTTTAACTGATTTGAATAATAAATGTACCCTTCTATTTTCTTCCTTATACTTGTTGAGCGTGACTTCGGTCGCAATAAGAAAGTTAAGTGTACCATACCGAGTCCAGTGGTAGTTGGTGCTGCAACCACAATTGCGTTTAATGCGTTGCTAGCTTCGCGACTCGGATCTCTTTACATTTCCTTACGAAAGACTGAAGCAGAGTTCTAGTGATGTCGATACATAACAATATTATACCGTTGGTGTCCCACATTCCGGGCGTTAGCTGATTCCGTTTTTTTGAACCGACGAGAATGCAAAGTGGCTCGCAGTTGATATCAGTTAGAATAATCAATTTCCCCTGTCTGTTTTACGTGCTATCTTGCCAAGGTAACTGTGATGTTACCGAAAAGGTGTTACGTTCGGCTGTCAGCTCTTCGTGATTTTGGGCCAGATATCACATTAAACGGTAGGTCTGTTTAGTTTGACGTAAACCAAGAAGCCTATTTCAGATGCCCCTCTTGGAGGTATGCATCAGAACATTCAACGTTATAGGATTGGTTTTGTGGAGTGCCTACTTGTACTTAGACTGTGTGCAGAATGAGTTGCGTAAAGTTAGATTTCCTGTGTTTATTCTAAGTCTTGTGAGTGGGTGACTCAGTTTTTGAGTGGTCTTGCATTCAGATCATTAAAGATTACGCTATCGTGGTAGATGTGAATCATTTTTTGCAGATTCGCTTCGATTTGTTTGTTCGGTTCCAGGTTCAAACCCATGCAGAAGATGTTGCCCATGTCATCTAGTAAACGCGTGTCCCAGTTTACAGGAAGATGTATTAAATCTCCGAATTGGCAATTTGCGCGATAAAGCGAAAACCCTACTTAAGTTCTTCAAAAGCGTTCATAGGACTCCAGTCAACTCGGATAATCCGAGTTTAGGAAGATCAACCGATACGTCAGAGTTTGTTGATATTGCTATCTGTTACATAGATGGCAATATGACGCTCAACAAACACAAGTCAGCAGGTGCGGATGAAATACATCCAGCCATAGTGCAGCCGATGGTCGGGGTGCTGGCCGAGCCGCTGACCGTACTTTTTAGGGAATCAGTGCAAACCGCTATGCTTCCCCAGGACTGGCGTACAGCTACCATAGTAGCAATGCACAGGGCTGGACCGAAACACAAATCAGAAAACCGTTAGCTTTACTTCACTACTGTGTAAGTGCCTGGGCGACTGATCAGAAGGCAGAGTTGCCTACATGTGACCAGCACTCGACTCCTGACACCATGCACAGCACGGCTGGGTGCAACGGAGATAATCTCTTACGAATCTGCTTGTGCTTCTAGATGAAGTCACTCAACATATGGATGAGGAGAGAAATGTAGTCTGCTGCTTAGACTCCTGTGAAGCATTTGACTCTGTCAGCCATCGATTGTTGGACTTCAACTTTCGGAGCCCAGGCATAACACGTGGAGCCAGGGACTAGATTGTAGCCTTTTTGAATAATCTCACCTTCCGGGTCAAGGTGGGTGACTACATTTCTAACCATGAGATGGCCACAAGTGGGGATCCCCAGGGCTCAGTGCTAGGTCCCTTACTCTTTCTCATATTCATCAATGATCTGGCACAGGATCTTCAAAATCTGTGTTTCATGTTTACTGATGATGTCAAAACGACAGGGTTAAACCTGCTAAGGTACCTAGAGGTAGTCTGTAGTGGAAAAGATACTACATATACGAATAATAATGAAATAAACGGTACAAGGAACGGACTCACAGAAGGATTGTCCGCAGGTCGATTGATCCTGTTCTTGTGATGTGTGGTTTCGGTTGACGAGGTTTTGAGGAGCTGAAATGGGTGACTGCGACAGTTAACGGACCGCTTGACGATCACTGATAATGCTTGCTTAATTCCTCAGTAACACTCAGAGAACACGTGCGTATTTGCGAACAGAATTTTGTTTTGTGTATTAGGTACTGAGCATATTAAAACAAGCTGTACAATCAGGTCA